ATAATAAAATTTTGAATTCTTATTCAGTGGCCCTAAAATATTGAGAGAAAAAAAAGGCTTAGATCTTTTAGAGGATACAAATATGGTTCAATAGGTCGATGGTTCTAAAAAAAATTGAACCAAAAAGAGTCGACAATAATATTTTCCAAAAGTTCATGAATATACACACATAAAAATTTGAGAAAATCCTGAATTTTTGTTTTCCAACACCTAAATGCTAGAAAAGCTGGAGTGAATGATATAGAGGATGTGAATATCATTAACCAGGTCATTACAAATTATTCTAAAAAAATTTGGACAAAAAAAACCACTTGGTATATTATATTCTAATAAATTCATGAAATAACACATACAAAAAATAGAGAAAAACTGTGAATTTTCGTTTTGTAATTCCTAAATGCTATACAAAATGTTGTGGAAAATGTATAGGCTATAGGTATGATCCAGTAAGTTATTACGGATGATTCAAAATTTCTTTTGGTCAATATAGATCCCATCAATAATATTTTTCAATAGGAGAACTTTTACAAATAGCCATTATAATAAATTTAATTATGTTTCATAGCTATAGTTTGCATATTTACGGGTTGTAACTACAGTTTAAGCTATCTCATTTGTATAATTTACGGGTACATTTGTATAATTCAGTTATTTTTTGTAAAAACTCAAAATAACGAATTTATACAATTACAAACATCTGAAGTTAAATAGTTATACAAAAATTATACAAATTATATTATACAAATTCTAAATTATATAAACGTGTGAATTATACAAAACTAAAAAACTGAGTTGTGTAATTATAATTAAAAATAGATCGCAAATTATAATTAAGGCAAACTACAAATATATTAACTAAATAACTAGTATATGTTTATTTATACGTGTAATTTTTCCTTTTCGATAAATAATGAACTACCCATAAGAGAAAAGTAAAACGAAATAAATTAGACACATAAATAATTACTCCCTCCGTTTCCCAAAGAATGACATCCTTTCCTTTTTAGTCAGTTTCAAAAAAATAACTTCTTTCCTTTTTTGGTAACATTTTACTTTTTGCTTTCCACGTGGCATGTTTAAGACCACAAGATTAAGAGCAATTTTGTACATTTGACATAATTTTAATTTAGGACCACAAGATTCAAAAGTTTTATTTATTTACTTAAACTTCGTGCCAAGTCAAATCAGGTCATTTTTTGTGAAACGGAAAGAAGGAGTAAAAAAATAGCGTGGATCTCCAAAAGACAATGTACACATAAATGATTTTAAAAATAATTGAAACCAAAAAAGACGGTCATTAATTTTTCTCATTAATTATTATCATGGCCAATAAAGAAGAAGAAGATGGTGGCAGGCGGTGAGACCAGGATGGTCTGGTTTTTTCCATCATTATCATAAATTACCCTTTTGTACGTTATCATTAGAACCGTCAATATGGGCTAGGCCCATTGAATTGGCCTGGTTTAATTCGTGATTTGATAGGATTAGACTATTATTTTTGAAGCTCATTTAAGAAAAGAGTTTTTTAGCTTAGCCTGAATAAGTTTGCCAATTTTTTGGGCTTATGAAATATGAATAGGGGTATCCCATGGATCAAATAAAAATTAATTAAAAAATAAAAATAAAAATAGAGTATTATAAATAACAAGAGTCTAAACTCAAAAATCTGTTTAAAGTTTTAAAATATTACAAATTTTAAATACAAATTATATTTATAAAATATGTACTACATAAAATTAAAATTCCCTAAAACTTCTAGGGGAATCACTATATCGGCCATAGCCTATGGAATATTGTCATGTTTTTTGTGTTTTATTATGATTATTGGAAAACAACTAGTTTAATATTTCTATTTAGCTATTTATGTTTTTACTTGAAATCAAACTTAATAAATATTATAAAGATAATTTTATTTGTGGATTTGATTAACAAATAGTAACACCATATAATATTGTCTTGTCAATATTTATGATAATATTTTTAAATTATAATTTAATTTAAAAAATTATAAAAAATATGTTTTTAAGAAAAGAGAGTTGGATCGACAAAGCCCGTAGCCCACGTACTTGTGGGCTGGGCCGACCATTTTCTGGCCCACATAAAAAATGGGCTAGCTCGACCTGACCCGTTAAATTTCAAAGTCTGTATAGGTTAGCCCGAATGGGGTGGGCTAGCTCATATTGACAACTCTAGTTATCATAACACTCTTTTAGTACATTGTAATGTTGAAGTCAAAATTTCCGTTAGGATATAGTTTAAAATTAAATTAATTTGAAATTGAAGTTTCATGTATTTGGACAAATAATTTGATTTTTTAAGTTATTTGTTTTTTCATAAATTATAAAAACTTCAAAAATTGTAAAAACAATTAAAATTTCTTCAATTCTTATACAATTTTATCAAATGAATAAATTATAGTTCATTTATAAAATATCAAAATATCTTAAGACATCATATTAAAAGAATTGCATATCTTCATACTCAATAATTGCAATTTTTTCAATTAAATATAATTTATAAAGATCTATTAGTCAATAATAATTATTGTTTAATATAATTATTATAAATGATAGGGACAAATAGGGGTGTTCACGGTTTGGATAAAAATCAATCCAAATCAAAAAATCGAACAAAATCGATAAAATAAAATCGATTTTATTTGGGTTTGATTTTAGATTTTTGAAAATCGATAGTATTTGGTTTGGTTATGATTTTTATTCGAAAAAATCGTAGAAATAACCGAACCGATAAATTATATACATATATTTTATTAATATACATACTTAATATATTATTTTTATAAACAACTTTAAAGATCTTACATATATTTTCATTAAAATTTCTTTATAATTTACTTATTGAAAGCAAAAATGTCCAAGGTGAAAACATTTATCTTATTGATTTCATGTATATGAGTGTCTATGACAATTCTTTGTGGGATTGAAATGTTATTGTCTCTTCCTTCTAGGCCAATATAGTGAATCTTAAAGTTTTATTGATAGTAAATTTAGTGATCGAAAGTTTAGTAATTTAAGTCATTCTAACTATTTTTCGTTTGAATGGATTGTTGTCACTTTTTTCACATTTTGAATGAATTGTTTCTTTTATTTTTGTGTATGGTTAATAACCAAAACAAATCAAATTGAAACCGATAACCACCAAATCGATAAATGTATATTATATTTGGTTTGGTTTGATTTTGATAATTTTAAAATCGATTAAGTTGATTCGATTTATCAATAACCGATCCAAATCGACCCGTGTACACTCCTAGGGACAAACTATTGTGAATGAATTTGGAATCTGAAATGATTATCCCAAATGAGATATCAATTTGAAATAATGATCCTATGAAAGCTTAGTTATTTAGAGACTGTGTTAATTGACTTACTTTTATGTGTATTTTAAATTAAAATAACTTTTAAACAATTTTAAAATGTTTGGATAAAATTAAAAAAATGCTTATAAACACATATTTTAAAGTAAAAATAATAAAATTAATTAAAAATTAAAAATTTCTAACCTATCATATATATATATGTATATATATATAAGAGAACCCTAGGTCCGTCTACGTTACGCCACCACAAATCAAGATTCCCTTTTAATTTATTTATTTCCCAAACTAGTCTTTCCGTTTCATGAAAAGTTGTGACTTTCAGGAAAAGTTGTAACTTTTATGAAAAATTGTGACTTTTAAGAAGAGTTGCGACTTTTATGAAAATTTGTGACTTTTATGCAAGGTTATGACCTTTCTGAAGGGTTGTAACTTTTCTAAAAAGATATGACATTTTCGATAAGGCACAATAAATATTTGTTCACACTATACTTTATTGTCTATAAATAGAGAAATTTTCTCAAATTTTGAACTTTTTCTTCTTCTTCTGCACAATTAAATATTCATGTATTTTGCTCCTGTTGAGTGACTCACTGACACAATTGTTTTTGTATCAATATACTGTGAATAGAATCGTTATGTCCTGAGAGGATCTATTCCTTTAAACCTTGGGTACTAGAGGGGAATAATTTCCTTTGGTATGCCATTGTAAGACATAAAGACCTTAAAAACATTATCACACCTTGATGTTCGAAGTGAACCAGGAAAAAAAGATAAAAAATAATTAACTTTTGACTTGAGTTTAAGGATGTGTCGGATGACCTATAGAGAAATATGACTAGACCGGAGCCTCTTTTAACCGAGAGACATAAATAACTACACAATAAATTAATTGTTCATATTCAATATGAAGTATGAACATATTCTCAAGTTTATGAACATATTCTCAAGTTTACTGCAAGTTGTATATACTTTTCTTGAAATAATATATGTGTTTCTCGACACTGCGATTGAAATAAAAAAATAGTTTCAAATTGAACTCTATTACTCTAGTATGCTGATTTAAAAAAAAAACACCCAAACAAACTAAATAGTTTTGTCTAATATTTTTCCCTTTCAAGTATATATAATAAGTTGAATTATTGTCCAATATGATACATTCCCCCTTTAATTTTCCATTTTAATAATTACTTATGATACATTTAAATGAGGAATTTTAAAATGATATATGTAAAGCAAAAAGTAGGGCTGAACCTTTCTACACGTTAGACTTAGAATATTTGTATATCTCAGATTGATGTTCATTTGATTCCCCAAAAATATCAAATATCAAATAGTAACACCTCCTGGAAGTAAAATGATAAATTATAAAATCAAATTAAAGAGATTGATTGAATGATAAATGATAAGATGTTATATTATCATTTTTCTTTACATTATTAATGTTCATTACTATGTAATTTTGTATGTAAGATAATATAATATTTTAGTTTTAATGACTGACATATTTTAAATATTATTTTTTAAATTTTGTGATATTAAATTCTAAGGCGAGGTGGCAGTCAAAAGTCGTGTGGGGGAGGGGGGAGGCGGTAGAAGCAAAAGAGAGCACGACTATTTAAAAGGTTTGTCTGTTTCCTATTCTAACGCCTGTCACTATTCTAATTTCACTTGTCGTGTATTCATTCCCAAATCTCAAATTGGTCGTCAGTTCTTTAGACAGGACGTGTGTATGTTTAATGCATGTGTACGTTTATGCATCTCTCTTTCTTTCTAGTACGAACCTACCTGCACTTGCCTTCGTCTTCTTCTCCTCTGATTTAATTTATTTGTTCTCTCAAAACTACTCCTTGATTCACGAAATTTGACAAAGATTCTCCAGGTTATGTATTTCATAATCGTTTCTTTCCACTGGCTGATTATTATTTTATTATCTATCTGTCTATATAAATAATAATAATTATGGAAAGACAACAACTTTACTGTTTTATGTAGATTCGCATGTGCTTGAATTGGGATTCACATAAGATAAGATGGGGCTGTTGGATCTCTTCATCACTGCATCAATGCCCGTCCTCAAAGTCCTTTTGATTACCGCACTTGGATTAATACTTGCTCTCGATCGTATCGACTTATTGGGACAAGATGCAAGAAAACATTTGAATAATGTCAGTATATGGAGTATTTCTTTTTTAAACTTAATTTACTCCCTTTTCAGTTCTCTGGTTGCATCATGCATATCATTCCAGATTTGTTGCTGCTATCAAAATTATAACTCGCTGAAACTCTAGTTGGTTAATAATTTTGTGTTGTTGTTGGATGTCTTCATGTTAATCAGTAAGTATGATTTGTTGGACATAAGGCAAGTTTAATACATTTTGGGGGAATCTAGAATTACTCTAAGTGAAACCTTAGCCTTTTATTACTTTTTCTCTTTTCCTAAAGAGGTAACGTTGCCCTAATTTGTTGTTCAATGCTGATACTTCTCCTGCGAACAGATAGTATTTTTTGTATTGAATCCAGCCCTTGTCTCCAGCAACTTAGCCAAAACAATCACATATGAAAGCCTGAAAAAATTGTGAGTTTCGCATCTCCATTTTATTCACTAAAACCTTACATGTATCTCCTATTCACTCAGTTGCAATTGTAGGTGGTTCATGCCTTTCAATATACTCTTCACTTTTATTGTTGGTTCAATTCTTGGTTGGGCAGTCCTTCAAATTACAAGGCCTCCCCAACATCTACGTGGACTGGTTGTTGGCTGTTGTGCTGCAGGTACGTACGTAAAACCTCACTGATGAAGATAACTGTAACTCTGATGATATAGTTGATGCTAACTATGAGCACATTTGTTTTCATTTATGAGGGACCTGACCAGCTTAGCACAAGTTGTTCTGTCCTGAAATAGAATTTATATACTCAGCAACTATGTCGAAAACACTAGTAATACCCAAGTTTTGGACAAAAATTAATTGGAAAATGAAGATAGTCGTGATCAGAGAATCTTACTGTTGACTCTGTATATTTAATTAGGTTGAACCAACTGAGAGATGCAGGCTGTTTTACTAGCTAACCTTCCTCATTCTGCTAAAATATGATCTTGAGATCTCAAATCCATTCCTAGTTATGAGAATCTTTTTTGCACCTTATCAACTCAATTGATAACAATTTCCTTATCAAGGTTAAAGTAGATATACAACATAGTATGACTAGCCTAATTATTTTGCTGCTCTGCAATTCTGTGCGGAATGAGTCTCTCAAGATTTTGTATGAATTCTGTTTAAAATGCGTGTTGGTTGGAGTATTTTCTCCAGATATGATACTATTTTACTTTAATTAAACAGAGAAACGAATCGTGAGATCATTCAAGTTTCACCATAAAGGTGTTGGAGATGGAAAGCAAAGCAAATTGTTTATTTTTCACACACTTTTAGAACCAATGTGATAGGCAAAATAACTTTACCTCGGAATGAGACAGTAGCATACCTTGTTACTGTGTAATCTTTAATGTAGGCAGTTTGTTTCATTAGGTACAAGTACATTTTGGGTCATGGAAATGAGAAAAATTGAACAAAAGAATTTAGAAAAATGTTCCTGGTCACTGTGTTGACCCTTGGTGCATGTCTGCTTTCTTCTGGTCAAATCACATTATGAGTATTCAACCAAAAAGTTAATAGCCATGGAGGTGCGGAAAATATTGTTAATGGATTATTTAAGACATGCATAAGAAATTTCCAGTATCCAAGAAATAAAATTAGCCAAAGGAAAAAAAAAAAGCCTACTGTTTTCTTTTTATACAAAGGTGTCGTTTGCGCACCACCTCGACTAGTTCACCTCGTACCTGCTGCCGCCTACCTGCGGTGGATGTAACTGTTAACTTTTGTCCACCAATTCTTAGACAGATGGGAATAATCAACTAACTTATTTCAAATAATTCATGAAGAAATAGGATGAACAAGGATGCGAAAGAGCTCTCTTGTACAATGAGATGAGTTGCTTCTGTAGTATTCAAGTTATATAAAATTACAATTTTACTTTGCATGGACAGGAAACTTGGGCAACATGCTTCTCATTATTATTCCAGCCGTTTGTAAAGAGAAAGGGAGCCCTTTTGGGGATCCTGGTGTTTGTCACACATATGGAATGAGCTATGCTTCACTTTCGATGGCAGTATGTGTCTCTTAACTACTTTAGTTGGTTTCAGGATTTTATTACATTATTAGAAGGGTCTCCAACATTAACTTTATGGCCATAGTATACTTGTATAAACATGAATACCTTTCTGGCAAAATCCATGACTTTTGATGCTAAGGAAATCTGATGCTTTCCCGGTGACTGTTCTACTTCAGGTAGGGGCAATTTATCTATGGTCTTATGTTTATAATATTGTGAGAATATCATCAAGTAGGAGCTCAAAGGAAGTTGGGATCAATGATTCCTCCGCCAGTATATGTTCGAGAGAAGGCTCTATATCTACAGAATCACTACTTCCGGCGAAGGCCCCACCAGAACAACTTGGGATTCCTTCCACTAGATTTGATCACAAAACTCAGGTTGATTATTGTTCCACATCTCAATCTTGGATAATACAGGCTATGCAACAACCAGAGTCTTCTCCCACTCCTTACCCCACCGACAGAAAAAAAACTAATTAGGAAAAAGATGTTAGATAGGAAAACTTGCATATGAATAACATGATCAAGAGAGGCCCTCTAGAACTGGTAGATGACTAAATGGAGATAGTGAAGTAGGGTTAGCCTTATAGCCAGAAGTTGTTGTAAAGGATTCATCACATGAGCTATGACACATAATGCTATGCAACATTAATGTTCCGCAATTCTGCTGAGATTACGCCATATTAGATAGTTGAGAAGGTGCACTACAGTTTTGAGTTTAAATGATGCACACTGGTCTCATTATTGATTGTTTGAGGGTTCTAAGAATCCGATTCGAACAGGATTTCATTTTCACACATCCATACCAGATTTCACTTATTTTATATTTGATGTTTTCACATCAATTAATTTGCTCAATGTTGGATCTGCACAAATATGAAGATGCTCTCTGTTTAAGCATGTTTTTTTTTTCCATAAGTTATTTACGTATCATAATAAACAAAATTATGCATCAATTTTTGATATTGATGTTTGTATTTTTGTAACAGGCCCACCATGGTGCTAGACTAAAGCAGTTCATGGAAAATGTTTCAAGGAAGATCAACCTGAAGAGGTTATTGGCCCCTTCTACTACTGGAGCGGTATTGTTCTATTGCTGTTCCTTTTTCTGAACTTGTTTATATTGCACAATTGTCCTAATTCCAGTTTAGTGCTTCTAATAGACTGTGTCTAAAAGGAAGACACGTTGAAGCTTTTCGGTCATGCAGTTGCAACTAATCAATTACATAAAACCTCAAACCTATTTTTTAAGGAGTAATCGCAAGATATGTTTTAAAAAACCTATCCACCCTGAAAAAATTTCTTATTATTTCTGTTCTTTAAGAATTCTTCTTACGAAGGGTTGTCTTTTGGCAACCATCAAAGTACAAGCTTCTTGTTTGTAATTTGTAGGGTGGTTTTCAATGTGTACTAAATTCTGTAAATCCTTGATTATTATAGGCATATGTAGCTGCATGAGCACACTTACACCCATTGGAGTAGTTCATTGATATCATCTGTCATTATGTGGTTTCAAAAACAATGAGACACATGACTTAGGTTAGGAATTCTTCTTTGGCGATAAAAAAGACTATTCTATGTTAGCATTTTATAGATCCTCTAGACATTAGCAGTCACCAGTATCTACATGCTGAATAAATACAAAAGTTGCACTAGCGCACTAACAAGTGGTCAGTTTATTTTAATTTTTTTTTACAGATTGCAGGTTTTACAGTTGGACTTGTACCTCAGATAAGGAAGTTGATGATTGGTGATGTAGCTCCTTTACGTGTAATCGAAAATTCAGCTATTTTACTAGGGTATGACACAACTACTAGTCTGTGTGAATAGACTATAACAATTGGTTCATATTTTGAGAATCAATCAAAAAATAAAACTGCTATACCTTGAGAGTGCCTGCATAAAATGCAATCGCTTTAGAATGCCATTTTGCAGCCATATATGATATGCTTTCTAGCTGTAGATCAATCTGGAGATAATGTCACAAAATCAAAACTTGTGCTACTTGGTCGTGTCACTGAAGGTAATCCATAAAGCATCTTTGACTTGTTGAAATGATTGCAGGGATGGAGCCATTCCACTTCTAACGCTGATCATGGGAGGTAACCTTTTGAAGGGTTTGACCGGTTCAGGGATTCAGAAATCCCTACTTCTTGGCATTATTGTTGTCAGATACATTGCCCTACCTCTTATTGGTATCGTTGTAGTCAAAGGAGCTATTCGCTTGGGCTTGGTGCAACATGATCCATTATATCAATTTGTGCTTTTACTTCAATTTGCACTTCCACCAGCAATGAACATTGGTATGACATTCAACTAGTTATCATCTGTCCTGTTCTTTTCGTGTTTTTTTTTGGCCCAACCACAATTTCAAAACCCCAAAGATCCCTATGTTTGCTCTGCATTAAATGGACAAGACAATTCTTGACAGTAACCACTTGTGGCATTAATGTAAATGTGTCTGTTGCAATACGAAGTCTTAGATGAGATGACACAATTCTTGTTTCACTTGGCAGGCACCATAACACAGTTATTTGGAGCTGGTGAGAGCGAGTGTTCAGTGATTATGTTTTGGGCTTATGCATTGGCTTCAATAGCGCTTACTCTGTGGACAACATTCTTCATGTGGCTTGTATCTTAACTTCATTTTTTTAATATCAGACATAAACAAGTTGACATGTCCACCAGTCTACTATGATAACGAAAATCAGGAACTAAAAGTTCAACCCTGTTAGATGTAATCATTAATATAACCAGTGTAATCAACAGCAAAAAAAGCTCTAAGGCTTGTTTGGGATTTAAGTGCAAATAAAGATTCTGTAGTGTCGTTTCTTCAAGCAATGCTCATTTCGCAAGGAAAAATTTGTCTTGGAGCCTAGATGACGACACTAAAGCGCCCAACATGTTTCAAGCGGGCTTAAACGTGCCTTTGACAACATTATTAATAACATGACCCACACAAACACAGTTGCTTTCTCTAAAGCAAGGCATTCTTGGAGTAGTGAAGCGGAGAAGACATATTGTACTCAGCTGTTCAAGGCATTTAGAGAGATAATAAGCAAAGAAAAATAAAGTAGGCACAGCGATTATTAAACTTTGAAGACAATTTGCAGCTAAACACCCCAAGTAATGTGATGGCAAAATGTATCATTACACATAGTTGTGCTTACATTGGTCCAGTTGATATTAAAAGACAATGTTAAAAGATGAAACGCATCATCATACTAATTGATACTACTAATAAAAGATGCTTGAGAAAAGCAATAAAAGCTTGCGACAGGGTTAGACGAGTTTTGTTGATCAAGTTGGAACTTCAACACATGGGTCCTGTGCTGACTTTCAGAGAGGAGTTTTGTCGAGATCATCAAAATAGGGATGTTCCATAGCTTTCTTAGCTGAAATCCTCCTAGACGGCTCATAATGCAACATCTCCTGCAAACACAAATTGTTCACACCATAAATCATCCACTCATTCGAACAGGCTAATAAAGTCAGACAATCGTAAAAGAAAAAAGAAAAACCTACACTGAGAAGGTGAATCCCATCTTCATCAAGACCAGGGACAACAGTTGAGAGTAGCTGTGGTTTCCATTGGGGGTATTCATGCCAGTTAACTAACTTGCTCACCCCAGGCCAGAGTTCTTCGTTAGGAGTACCTAGCAATCTGCACCGCAATTCTGTTAAGATTAGAATAGTGGAAAAGGTGAGGAGGAGCAAAGCTCAAAGCTGGTGATTTTTAGCTCTAAACCTGAAAATGTGAAGCAGTTGTTGCAGCTCAGAGTCTCCTGGGAAGAGGGCTTGGTTTGTCACTAGTTCAGCTGAGGTTGAAAACAAACCACAAAAGAAAGAACAATTATAACTCCATGCTAAGTATATTACACAACCTATAAGGAGGAAAAGATCATTCGGAGGAGGAATGATGAACAAGAGTTTTACCAAATATACAACCAACAGACCACATGTCAACTGCTGTGGAGTAATGAGTAGCTCCAAGAAGAACCTCAGGGGCTCTATACCACAGGGTTAATATCTGAAGGAAAAAGGGAAATATTTTCACATTCAGGGGATCTAAAGAGCATAGATAAATGAGAATAGCTGCTGCAGCAGAACAGTAAAATTACCTCATGTGTGTACTTCTTAATGGGCAGAGTATAAGCTCTGCCAAGTCCAAAATCTGCTAATTTGAGCACATTCGTCTTACGGTCCATCAGAAGATTGTGTGGTTTCAGATCCCTGCAGCAACAAATTGAAAAAGTGACAAAACGAACCATGAAAAGCACATCTTTATGAGTTTGTGTATAACCAAAAGGCACAAGTGTGGTTTTACCTGTGCAACACACCATGACCATGGCAGAAAGCAACCCCTTTGCAGAGCTGGTACATCAAGCTCTGTTTCAAAGAGCACAAATTTATTAAACAGAGTAACAAATGTGTGAGAAGTAGCATACAACTCCGATCATTTAGACTACAAACCTTGACAATTTTAAGGGGCATAGTTTCTCCTTTTGCACGGAAAGTACGAATAAATTTCTTGACATCAGTATCCATGTACTCAAAGACCAAGTAAAGAACAGTCTTTCCTTCTTTGTTCTGCCCTTGTTTAACATCCATCAGCCTGATTGTACAATTATAGGGCATCGTATAAAAACGCAAGATACAGATATCAATAACAAAATGACAAACCTAAAGAGTGAAATATACAAAACTAAATGAAATAGATATAACCCGCCCCAATCAGATAGAAATGAAATCTCAATTGTAAGTGTAGAAAAAAAAAAAAAAAACCCTAGAAATGCGAGAAATTGAGTAAGGAGGATACCTAACAATGTGGGGATCCCTTGAGAGCATTCTGAGGAGTGAGATCTCACGGAGAGTAGTTGGAGGAACACCTTCTTCGTCCTCATGAAGCCTCGTCTTCTTCAGCGCAACAATCTTGCCAGTAACCCTATCTCTCGCTCTGTACACCTTTCCATAGGTACCCTCCCCAACCTTCTCCAGCTTCTCAAATGCCTCCATCGCCGATACACTCTTACCAACATTTTTAGCAGCCTCCATTTCTTCTCTCTCGCTGTGTGTGCTTCTGGGGATTTCTCTATTGGAGCGTCTCAGTGACCCGTTTTATATACTGAACCGCCTACATCTTGCACAACGGCACCATTTTTGAATTTCAAACGAGATTCACTGTGATTTCCTAATTCCATAACTACCCCTCTACTTTTCGAAATCCCTATACGTAATTTCTTTTTCCCTTTCTTTACCACGTTAGAAAATTATCAAAATGGTCCTTAATTGTATGGAGTTTGATTTCATTTGGTCCTTCATGAATAAATATGATGAAAATAGTTTCCAATTATTTCAAATAATAATCAGTTTAGTCCTCGGCACCAGCTATCAAACTACAAAATTAAGGTACTTCAATTTGATTTAAGAACCCACATCATAATTTTTAACCTTATCTTGAAAGAGTCTTTCAGTTTGAAGAAAATTATAATTTTATGGTGAGTGAAAGAATACATTGGGAAGTAGGTTTTCTATAAAGAAGGATGCTGAAACACAAGTGGTTATGGATTGAAGGTTTGAGTTATGTAAGGATTAAGTGAGGTTTATATATATGATGATTAGATGATCGATTAATTGAACATAATTAAAATACAAGTGTGTATTAATAATGAAGAGCAACCCGTATTTGTACTAGTAGAGACAGTGGACAAGTGAACGCAATTACTTCATGTTTCTCGACCGATCCTTTTGTTCAAAGAAACCCACCCTTCTTTTTTGTCATTCCTTGCGCAAGGATTTACAAAATACAGGTTGCTGCTGCCTACACAAGTACTCCTCGACATAAATCAATACCTAAAAGGCCGCGTAGCAGATGCAAAATCAGCTCATACACGTACAACACCTAGTTACCTCCTTTACCTAAATACAGCTCTCAGGTCAGATCTAATTCAACCCTATAGATGGAAACTCTTATATTACAAGCAAGACGATAACACATGCAATCCCGAGAGGCAAAAAGTGCTCGAGATACTTTGGGAGTCACAAGCTTCTCCACTGGTTATGTATATATACAAAGAATTTGAAGTGCCTTCTATAGCTCAAGTTATTCGATTAAGCCTCATACTCTGCACCTTCAAAGATATTCTCAGCCTCTGCTCCTCCATTTCTCTCAAGATACTCAACAATTTTGCTCGATAAGCTTCACAGGTCTCAGTTGCATATACCATAGCAGTCGTTAATTCCTTAATTTTCTCATCTTGATTCTACAAAAGGTAAAAGAAATGCATAGTATCAGTTGCACACTCAAATTAGTAATGCATGAATGGTACAAAGAGCATCAGAAAACTATTATCGAACTACTATTAGGGAAATCTAGTTGTCAGGATTTACTTTATAAACCACAAGCCAGAATTGCTAATGCGAAGGTCAATGTTTCTTATACAACTCATAAAATCATAGGAATTTTAATTCATTAGACTAATTCACAATTTTAACTCATAAGTAGCAACGGAACTTCATCTGACCTTCAAACACTGACAATGCTAATTCATTAGACTAATTCACAATCTAAGAAATATAGAATTCATAATACTCTCAAGGTCTACTGACACCAAATAAAAGTAACGCATGTGAAGATGTGACCACTGAATATCTACAAGGTACCAAGATGCAAGAAGCAAAATTCATTAATCATTTGGTATGGACTTCTGGAGATGAGAAAGAAACAATTCACTTAGAGTCCCTTGTTCAGCAGCTATCACAGATTTAACATCTCTTAGTTGCAAACTGCAGCTGTTGAATTTGTTATATTTAAAAAAAAGAAAAACAGATAAATAGCACAAACAATGAAAAATCAGAGACCAAAGCGCAAGCAGATGACTTATGATCAGAACCTTAAGGGGAGCAATGATTTGAGCGCTGAATGGTTAAGTTTAGTAATAGCAAAAGTTGGCTATCCTAATAAAAAGGAAAAAATGTCGAGCCAACACTTCTGTTTTCCTAATGAGTATTTTCTAAGTTGCTCGGACTCTCCAAAAATGTTGCCACACCCGTGTTGAATCCTCCAAAACTGCACTACTTTTGAAGGGTCTGACATGCACCTGATGTCATTTTTGAAGAGTCCGACAAACAGAGCATTTTGACCTCTTTAAATTCTCAATACAGACGGATTTAGGCCCCCTGTGTTCCCCCCACCCCCCTCTCCTCTCCTCCTCTTTGCAATAAATCTTGTGAATGCCGCTGCCGCTGCCGCTGTTCCTGTTTCTTTTCTTTTTTGTATAGCGATGGTGACGGACCAATTTGAGAGCGTCTTGACTATTTCATGCGGTACCAGATCCTTTCCACTAGTACAAGTACAGGGTAATTCCTTCCACAAGTAGCCAACATTTTTTACTCTTGGGATTCATACCTTATTCTCCTATGATTTTAGTTCCATCTTCATTGACCACTAGGTCATGCATTTGGGTGCAGTGAATGCCATAAATTCTTGACGCAGTAACTAATGTTTAGAAGTTACAATGTACAATTTAGCAACACTACAAAGCCACAACATACAATATAGGTAAAAGATTTAGGGATAGACGATCTCTCTGATTTACTTCTACTTCCATACTAATGCTTAATCACCAAGAAGGAAGACACAAAATTAATACAAACTTGTGGTCAAACAAAATGCATGATATAACACCAGCAGAAAGAACCTCCCACTAATTTCTGGGTGGAGACGAAAGAGTTCAAAGAAAAAAAAAATTACCAGCAAGCTGGGATCATCACAATCAGTTTGATTTCCATTCAAGTTGAATTCCTTTTCTTTGTTCATGTCTTGACTCAGTGGCTGTGCTGGAGTACCGCACATAGCAGCAGCAACCTTCTTGGAAGCTTCATCTAAAGCATCCATAGCAACTAGGTACACACTTTTCGAATCCACTCCTTCTTTGACGTAGTTAGTTGCTTCTAGGCTTAACTTTTCAAAGCGATCAGTGAAGGAATCGTTATGGCTACTTGGCAATCCAAGTTTGTCTTCATCCAATACAACCTCACTCTTGGCTTTTCTTGTCCAACGTTTTAGTACATAATGTGATAGAAGCCTCAGAACATTTTTCACTCTAAAAACAGCTAAAATGTGCCTACAAAGAATACCTGAAAAGTCAAACAATTGGCAACTACAGCTAGCTTTCTTCTCAACGACATTATATTGGACATAATGTACTTTATGGTCCTCTCCAAATTTTACCACTTGATATATTACATCTGATCCTGCATCATTAATTACAGTTGCAGGATAAGCCAAAGTTTCCATTAGTTCTTGTTGGAACATCAAAAATATTTCCCTAGTATAAATGTTAGCTGCTTGTTTTTCCATGGGAGATGGGGTCTTCAAAATAGGAGCAATATTTATGGTATCATACTCCGCCTTCACCTCCTTCTCATGCCTGCTTGCAGTAGCTTTTTCATACTGACTCATTAGGATGTGAATGTTAGTCGATGCATCTATATATCCATCGAAGAATGAGCTTGTACTATCACTAGTTTTAGCAATAGATGTATCTCCAAAGAATGTATCTCGAAGGTAAACTGGAACCCAGTGTTGTCGAGCATCGTACATTGACTGAAGCCATTCATCATCTATCAGATTGTATCTTCCAAGTAGGGATCCCCAACATAATTCAAACTCCGCAATTGTCTCAGTCAAGTTGACACATTTCTGGAATTCTGCTTCAAAAGTGGGGAATGACTGGAGTGAGTGTGAGAGCCTCTCCTGTGCTTCTCTAAAAATATTGGATTTGCAGAAGCGGTGACGAGTGCCTGGAAATACGTCTAATATGGCTGACCTAATGATCCTATCATGATCTGAAGTTATAGAAATAGGATGGCAACCAGACATTGCAGCAAGCCAATTTTCGAATAGCCAAATGAAAGATGACTCTGATTCATTGAGAAGCAGGGCACAGCCAAATAAAACAGGTTGACAATGATGGTTTACTCCTATAAATGGTGCAAAGGGCACCCGGTATCGGTGAGTCCTATAGGTGGTATCAAATGTAACTGTATCTCCAAAATAAGAGTAATTCTTTCTAGAGGTTGAGTCGGCCCAAAAGATGTTTCCCGATGAACCATCTTGAACAGCATAAAAGAAATCAGGATCCTCTGCCTGCTTCTGCTTCAAATGCTCAAAAATATAGTGAGCACCACTCCCTAGAGTCCCTTGCCTGCTTTGGTTCATATAATTCTGGCAATCAACTTTTGTGAAACCAACGTTATTAACCCCACCAGATTGCTTTATTAGGACAGACATGACACCAGTAGCGCCCAAACCAGCAGCTTGGAGCGTATCAATCAAGCTGCGGGCAGGACCAGAAACATGCCTATGTGATCGAATCAAGTGGACTTGATCAGGGGGTACAAGCTCATGATTATGGTCCTTGATGAATTTAGTAATAGCCCACTTACCAGAAGTCTGTTTCTTTACAGTCAAGTGAGCCTTACAGCCGACCCTAGAGACAATCCGCTGTCGCTTGGGTTTGTGTTGAGCACCATTATCAGGCCTAGGGTTAAAACCCTCTTTGGAACATACCAATTGGCGGGTACTAATAGAGTTATCACGACGTGAACGTCGATAAGCGCTGACCCGAGTGCCAAACCCAACTCTGCGGGCATAGGAGTTGTAGAAAATCCTAGCAGCCTGCTCAGATTCAAATTCCATGCCCTCGTAGGGTTCTAAGTCGGAAGAAGAACACTGTTGTCCTAAATCCACACCAGAAGCATTGAGGTTATCTTCTTCTTCTTCTTCGGCAGAACCCATATCAAACTCCATTGCATCGTTTTCCAAATTTAAGGGTTCAGATTCCATAATGCGCAGAAAAGAAACAGAAACGTACTATCGAAAAGTTTTGTTAGAGAGGAATTTGGTTAGTAGATAAAATAAATTATTGACTAACCCGCAGGAAGAGAGAGACCAATTGTACAGCGCGGGCATTTGCTTGGGCATGGCAACCTCCTCCAAGCTCAGTAACCTCAGTAAAAATGGCGACCTTCTTTTTTCCTCAAAATTTTGAGCTTTATTACTGTTTAGGGATCAGAGATTTTTGGACTTTTTCCACACTCTTTACTAAATTATATTTACATTTAACATAATTTTTTATTTTATTTTGTACAGAAAATAGAGAGTATGCGACTGTAGCTAATTAGGATTTTTTTCTCTCATATGGAATGAAACAATTATTAATCATCAAATACCATATTATTCTCTGATACACCAGTTTTTTTATAAAATTATTTTCCGTGTTTATTTTAAACTTCTTTTTTCCGGGTAAAACATGAGATTAAACTTGGAGCATTTTGCATGGTTACAATAGTTACTAAGTCACTAGGGAGTAGATACAAAAGGAAGAGGGTATAAGGGAGTCTGTACAACCATCGAGGAACTCGTTTGAGTTACTAGCCTTCTCTATAATAACGTTTTGTTACAACAGCCAAAAAATATCGAGACAAACAAGAAGGTTTGATTGCATATGTTCAAACTTCAAAAACCTACTTAATGTTTGCATAGAAATCAATATTGTAGTAGTTTAATAAGTACAATGTTTGATTGCTCCATTTCGTTATACATACACAAGTAATGTATGAATTTATGTGTGCGATATAATGTGAAGCAACACCAGGAGCATTTAATCAAACATAGAATATACTTCACAAGACAAGTGAGATAAATTGTACAATTTCAGTTGTAGTTTGATCTGTGTCTCAAGTAGGCAGGATCAAGCTGTGAAATGAACTCATCAATATGCTTGTCTGAACTTCCACTTGTGTCAATTGCCTCCTTAGCCAATTCTTTCAAGCTAGTAATATTCTTTCTAATTTCTCGTCCTCTCTCTCCTTCTAAAACTTCCCTGATGCACCTGTATATCTCTTCACTTGCAGTGACACCTTTCTCATCCTCATTTGCTTTAGCTATCAACCCCACACTCCAAACTTTCTCTAGAAAATGCGCGTTGATTATTTGGTCTAATATTTGAGGCATTGCAACTATAGGCACACCGAAGCTTATTGCTTCTAAGGTTGAGTTCCATCCACAGTGTGATATGAAGCATCCGATTGCATGATGTGCTAGTACCTCTAATTGTGAGCACCATGTCACAACCAATCCCTTACCTGATGTCTCTTTGCTGAAATCGATGGGAAGCTTACTCTGTTCATCAGGTTTCACCACCCATAAGAACATAATGTTGCTTTGCCTGAGAGCATCAGCTAGTTCTGTTATTTGTTCTGCACACAAATTTGCTGCACTTCCAAAAGAGACGTAGACGACTGATCCAGTTTTCTTACTGTCAAGCCACTCCATGCAATTGCTAGAATTTGGCTTATGAATATTGAAGCCATACTCGTTATCATTTTCAACTCGTTTGTCAAGATAAAATGATGGCAATGTTGGACCTATCGTTACTACATTCCAAACTTTCTTCATCCATTCGACAACCTAAATTCAGATTAATTAGCTGAGTGAGTCAAACAATTATCTTCCTTAGAATCAAATAAATAGCATGGCTAAACAAAGGACTTGGTGATTAGTAGCTGGTTCAACAAGAGCAATTTGATCTTATTGGCTTGCTTATTCAACTCGTTTGAGTAAACCCCGTCTTCACTTTGTCCCTCTTCCCCACCTGTCCCAACAAAGTTATACTTGGCGCTGAAAAATTCCAGCAAGTTATAAGCTTTTAAAGCTTGAGAACAACAAATCAAATGTGAGTTATAGGTTCTTTAAAGTTACAGTTATTTGACAAGAAAACAATACATTACCAGCTTGAAGTATTATTAACTTCTTGTCCCCAAGTCTGGCGTGCATACATATTCAAGACTAGCTAGAAAAAATTGAAAGAGCACATGAGATATGGTGTACCTACCTCTTCTTCCAACTTATCGAATGAGTTAAAGAGGACCCAGTCTGCCTTTCCAAAGTTGTCAAACTGGCCAAGTATGTGAATGATTATTGGGGGATACCGGCCAGTGCTACAACCAAGAGATGGCAGATTCGGAAACCTGAGCTTTGGCAATCCTGTGATTACCGGAAAACTAGGCATGGAAAGAGGAGTCTTTTCATAAACCTCACAGTACATAGGATAGTAGGTAGCAGCAGTAGCACATGATTGAGTGAAAAAGGCCGCGCCGGCTATGCCCAATTGGGTTGTAATTTTGGAAGCCCAGGGAATGTTAGCATCATAAACAAGGCACTTAACAGGGTGTTCATGATCCAAGATGAATCTGGTGAGGTTTGTTGAGCCACTGGCCTGGAATCTGTCTAGAAATCCTTTGAAACCTCCAGGACCTACCACCCCGCCTTGGGAGCAATCATCGTAAATGGATTCAAAAGTGATCATGGAGTAAGATAAAGTAGTTTTCATGGACTTCGCATTGGAGAGTGTGGTGGCTACAGTGATTTTGATTCCTTTGGAAGCCAGGCGTTTTGAGAATTGGAGCATCGGATTAATATGGCCCTGTCCCTGATCTGCTAGCACCACAATATGATGTGCTTTCTCAACTCTTCCTTGCTCCATTCTCTATCAAACTGCAAACCAATTTGCAAGAAAATTTATGTTAGGACTATAACTACTACCAGAAAGGAAAGAAGAGGCCAAAAGTCACGACTTTTTCATCTGTTGTGATCTTTGCTATGACATCAACATAGCCAGCAAACAAAATTATGTGTGTTCACATTGATAACATCGAATACGACCTTCTATGAAATATCCATTACACTAGAAATAAAAGAATCTTCTACAACCGTCCGTGTCTTTTCTTATTGAAAATGTAATCAATAGGGCAGTTTTTATATTTGTTGTCCATTTAAGCAAAACAATATGCCTTGATCCCAAGTTTAAGTCTTCTACCTACTTTCTCCAATTAAAATATAAGGATAGTGATTTATCCAATTAAATATGCCAAACAAACTGCTTCTGATTTATCCAATTAAATATGACAAGTCTGCTTTCTTCAGCTCTGTTTCCATTATCTGTAGAGAAATGCTAAGTCAAATTACATAGGATTACGTGCAGGTGATGCAGGAAGAACAATCAGAAGCATAAAGTTAGCGAACCCATAATAAAACAATTACAACATGTGCTTGCATTCAAATGTAAGATTCCAGGAGAGATGAGTTAAGTACAACGATTAAGTAAACAAACTTCTGTGTCTAACCCTAAAAGATAAGAAAAATTATGACAAGTGAATCTACACTATAGTGATTTAACTTCTAGTATCTACAACCTCTGTCAAATCCTTTGGTTCTTCTCAAGAGTGAATTGAATGCGAGATTGATTTCAGAGTTAGCTAAGATCAATTGTTGTTCACAAAAACTTCAGTGATCCCACAAACAATAATTTTTAGTGGCTGGGATCAAGCCTAGATAAAGCCATTTCAAAGAGTGGCTGGTCTAGTTGAGTTAAGCAAGAAGATCAGCCACTCTGCACCAGATAATAGGGGGAAACTCCTTCAAATACAAGTATATCTGGTGCACAGAGCATCCTGAACAAAGCATACAGCTGGTCAGAACAGTCACAAGCAGAGAGCAACTCTTGAGTTCAACAAGTCCAATTAGGGCACGTGAAAAAGCAGTTCACTTGCTAAAGAGACAGATGTGCCAGCCCATGGACAATTGCAGCAAACCAAGTCTGCCTTCAGCCCTATGCTTATTTAAAGCAATGGTCGTGAAAGATAGTCAATTAAATTTGGTAGATGTTGTCAGATGGAATCAGTGGAGGACATGAAGATGTTTTCTTTGCATGGACTGTAAGCTGTACTCCTGAAATTAAAAAAAAAGTATCTCATCTGTCAGTGGAAACAGGCAAATAAGGTAACTTTCAGCATATAGATAAGGAACACAACAAACCATTTGTAAAATGAAATTCTAGCTAAATCGGGTGAGTGGTTATAATCAAAGACCAGATGACACAGAGAATGCAGAACAATGAATTCATCAAAGTCGAAAAAGATAATAACTTGAACCTAAAGAGTGTACGAGTGGGTTAGAGTCTCGCATTGGTTGGGAATGGACTGGTGGTCTGCTAATATGGACTTGGGCAATCCTCCCTCATGAGCTAACTTTTTGGAGTTGAATTAGACCCAGGTATCAAATCCTTACAAAGAGAATCTCATTCAATTAAATTCATTCAACTTTAAATAAAACAAATTACAATCTAAATCCTAAGGTAAGAAAACTGGGGTGGGAATTCCCCAGGAACAGAGCTAATTTATTTCATATATAGTGCATAAAATAGTTCTCTCAATAAAGTGCATAACACAGAAACATGTTTCATGGGAACATATTTCTCTGATATTAGTACCTTTGTGCTTGAGGATTCTAGAAATTGCAACTGCATCATTCTCCGACCACTAAACAAGCAGAGAGTCTCTCCACCCTTTGGCACTCAAAGTTCTTAATCAAGGCAAATATTCACAAAGTGGGAGCATTCTGGAGCGGTAATTTCTTTTCCTTGATAATTACTCAGTTGTGTATAACTATAAGGCATATGCATCTTGATTTAAGTATCAATAAGGTACCAATGAGCATTCACCAACCCGGAAACCACAAACCAGAAACATTCACCGTGAAGATCTGTATTCAAAATGCCACAGCCAAACAAGATAGCAGCACATTCCTGGTTTTAGCTTTGAAGTCTTACATTTACTGTCCAAAGGTGCTGCAACTTTTCCCTGGCAATACAACCGGTTCCAGAATGACATATTCAAATCTCCGGAACCAAAGACACTCAATAGGTGACTCTAATCTTATCCGGTATCTCACCAGTAATTCCCACATGAGCATTCACCATCCCTGAAATGATGAAACCTATTTCCATCTCTGACGATGATTTCTCTTGCCTCAACCTTCGACATGAACTTGAAGGCATTGTGGCAGTCACCACAAATCCGAAGGTTCTTGAAGACCCTAATTGTGGCTCCACGAGGAAGCTTCAAGAGCCCAAATACAACCGCCAGCTTTTCACTATGAGTTGAAAGAGCATACTCCTTTTGCTCAGTCTCCATATCATGCAACACATATTGCGTGTCTGGAACATATCCCATTTTCCTCATCTTCAGCCTTAATTCCTCCAGGTAGTTGTACACTACTTGAATTTCAGGATGTGCAGTATCACCCACCAAAAATACATGAACGGTATTCTCAACCTTTATCCAACTACATCCAGGCTCTTTTTTCACCCCTTGGTCTCTCATCAGTTTTCTCACCTTAGCAGCATCATCCCATCGGCCTGCAGCAGCAAATGTGTTAGCTAGAAGTATATAGGTTCCATCATGTTGTGGCGTCAACTCAAAGAGTTGTTCTGCTGCTTCAACCCCCAAATCCACGTTCCTATGAGTTCGGCAACCAGCAAGAAGAGCTTCCCAAATGGGTGCTCCAGGTTTATAAGGCATATTCTGGATCACTTCTTTTGCTTCTAATAACCTTCCAGCTCGAGACAACAAATCAATTAAACGGGCATAGTGATCTTCTCCAGGGCTTATTTTATAAACACTGTGCATTATATTAAAGTAGTGTCGTCCCTTTTCAATCAATCCGGCATGACTACAAGCAGATATAACCGTGAGAAAGCTTATCCTATCAGGCATTATATTTTCATCTAACATCTGTTCAAAAAGTTCAACCGCTTGAACACCATATCCATGCTGTCCCAAGGCAGCAACCAATGCATTCCAAGACACCAAATCTACACAAGGCATAGTGAGGAACACATTACGTGCAGCTTCAATGACCCCAGATCTTCCATAAAATGTGACTAATGCATTTCCAGCTGAAAGGCTTGAATCATAACCACGCTGGATTAGTTGAGCATGGAGTTGGCATCCTGTTTCTAGTGCTCCAAGCACTGCACAAGATGTAATAGCTCCAGCAAATGCATAGTCACACAGCTCGATCCCCTTTACTCTCATTTGGTTGAACAGTTTGAGACCATCTTCTCCAAGTCCATTTTGTGCTAATCCTGATATCATTACCGTCCATGCCAGGGAATTCTTCTCTGGCATCTCATCAAAAAATAACTTAGCTTCATTAATCCGCCCTGCACTCACATATGCTGATAGAACTGCATTCCATGAAACAAGGTCCTTAAAAACTAGATTATCAAAAACTTTTCTTGCATCATCAACTCTACCACATTTCCAATATAATGTTATTAAAGCATTATATACAGACACATGGATTTTCTCTTCTGTTCGTCTAACATAAGCATGCACCTGCTTTCCTAGAAGAAACAGTCCAGCATCGGCACAAGCACTGAGGATACTGGTGCAGGTAAACTCATCTGGCTTCATCCCTGCTAAATACATTTTCCTTAACATATCTAATGCTTCAAAGATGAAACCTTTATGCACATATCCGGAGATCATGGCATTCCATGCCACAAGCAACTTCTCATCCATACCATCAAACACCTTCCGAGCAGCATCAAGATCATCATTCTTCACATACCCTGTGATAATCGTAGTCCAAGATAAGTCATCCCGTTCTGGCATCTCATAAAACAACTTGCTAGCTGAGTCCATCAACAGCAAGGATGATGCTAGGGGTGACGAAGCACATCTGACATAAACAGATATAAGTGCATTGACAACACACTTAAAGTTGGCCATGCCTGACTTTGCAACAGCACAATGCAGCTGCCGGCAGTGCATTTCATGATCAGCTATAAGGGCTAAGGCTGCAAGTACGGAGGTGTAGGTATACTCATCGGGTTGAAAATTTTTCCACCTCATATCAAGAAATAATTTTATAGCAGCATGGCCATCGTTGTTGTGTGAATAGCCTGTAATCATAGCGTTGTAACAAACAGTGTCACGGATACTTAATGGGGTTTTGTCAAAAACCTCTCTTGCAAGCTTGGGTTCTCCGGAAGCAGAGTATGCAGCAATCATAGTTGTTCTTGCCACTACATCTGGTTGGGGAATTCTATCAAACAGGTGCTTTGCATAAACAAGACCGGAATTTTTGCAATAGATATTGATTAAGTTATTAAGGATGTGGCTACGCGGGCTGAATCCGGAGGTGATCATGTTGGCATGGATTGATCGAAGAAGAGCAGACGCTGAGGTGGCATGCTTATGCTCTCGGCAAAGAAGTTGGAGCTGCACTGCGTAGAAGTTAGCAATGGAACCCGTGGCTGATTGGTTCTGCAAAGATGTTTTGACGGCATTTTTCATGATTGAAAAAGATAATATAGGGAATGAAAAACAAGGAGAAACTAGCCTGGCAGTGGATTTTTTGAAATTGAAGAGAAAGACGACGATGCCTAGGATGAGAGTTCAACTGCCCACTCCGCAAATTCAAATACCAAGAATTGCTCTCGAGGCAACTATTTTTCTACTTCTGTATCATTCCTCCTATTCTAACTTCAAATGCAGACACTCCCACAAGGCATATATAGGTTTGTTAGACATCATCTTCTTTATTTATTGACCAATTTTTTTTAACGGTATGTAACACAGGAAGAATATGTCAATTGGGCTTTGCTCATGAAATAAACAACCATAAGAAAACTCAAAA